TGCATTAGGTTTAGGAGGGCACAAGCAATCATCTCACGTGTCTCACCTAGTAAGAGAGAGCTTCTGTAGTGTCTGTATTTTCCTCACTACTTCTAATTGACTATTTGCAATCAGGAGAGGTAGCACAATTTGCCACTGATTTCCATTTCCAGCATACAGAAGGGTTACATACAAGTAACTAACTAGCTTTGCTGGTATAGTCCCAACTCACCTAAATAAGAAATAGGGCTATGTTTAGTCTGTTTATTTGTATAAATTTCCTAAAAATTCTATTTTTGAATAACCAGGTATAGTTCCTAATTGAAATGTTATTTATGCTAGATCCAACACTTTCTCAATGCACGGATTTTCTTCCCACGCTCCAGAGCATTACACAAGTGCTTCTAAATCACTGACATCAGTTACTCAAATCTAACACATCCCAGTCAGGCTTCTCAATTAATACATCAAAGCACTACAACCAACACACGCAGGGCTTGCCATACTGCAGAGGATTCCAGGGGAAATTCCCCTGCTGGTATATATGTTATCTGTACAGACTAAGGCTCACACTGGTCTATAAATTGCAACATTCAATGCCTTTCTTATACAATTTGATCACACACTCGTTCTTATTTCAAAAGCTGATCGCAGCCTTGCTAGATTTTGAAACTGCCACAGCATCTCTAAGGTCTTCACCAGAAGTTACTGCAGGGGTTGTGTGCTCTATCAGCTGTAGGTACATAAGCTCAGATTTCCATAAACATTGTGACAGAAATAGCAAGGCAATCTGCAGGTGCTCTCAGTGAGCTCACAATCAATATACACAGGTTACTATATAATGGTTGGTGCAACCTGATGGCTAGCATGCATTCTTATGCAGCTAAACAGCCTTTCCACAGTTTGCTTCTGGTTGGTTTTTTTTTTTTTTTTTTTTTTTTTTTTTTAAGTATCTTCATGCAACAAATGTACGTCATTCACCTATCTTAATTTAGTCAATCACTTCTTTAGTTTAAAATTAAGTCTCATATCTAAGAAAATACCATTCTGGATTTTTCTGAGACTAGGTATCTGGAGTAAAAAGACTGCCTTTCCATTTTATTTTTAGGAGAAACAGTATAACTACATTACAGCTAATACGAGCTCCAACAGGAAGATAAATATAACAACATCCTCCAGAACTCTGGCTGAAGGCTTGACCAATATTGTTTCATAACTGGTATTTGCTGCCAGAGTGAATTTCACTGGCTCCATAACCAGAGTAAGGAAACTGATTAGTTTCACAAAACCTTCTCATTAAACATTTACTTTTCAGCTTAGAGAAAACAATGCAGTGCACACAAAGTATAGGGCTTTTGAAACTTCCTCAGTGTCCCCTGGAAATGTGGGTTCATTTGCAAGGAGCTGTGGAAAGTACTCCACTGATCCTCTAGTAGATAGACACTTTTCTTAGTGCTCAGCAACATATTTTTTTTTTTTAATCATACATGTGGTTGTGTTATCAACCACAAGCTCTCATAGAGCTACGTTTACTGCAACCTAACCGAACAGTAGATGAACATTCTCAAGAATCTGCTTTTATTTTAACACTCATTTTAGACATTAAAGGATAAACTTCATATTAAAAAACAACCACCTCTACCCCCTATTCACATTATCACAGCTTCTAGTGAGATGCACCTACCTGAAGAGTTTAGCCTCCTGTGTTGCAACTGTAAATCTGTATTTGAGCCTAGAGTAAAAAAGTATGCCTTTTTTCTTACAATTTTCTTTTCTACTGTCTTGTGTTGCTTTGTTGCTTTTTTTTTTTTTTTTGCCTGCTTGTTGTTTCACTTGTTTGCTTTCTTAAAAACAGACAAAACAAGGTTACTTTTCAGTCTGTGAAGTGATAAATTTTCACAGCTGTTGACAAGTGCTACTGTTGTATATTTGCCCTACCTCCTTTGAAGAAAGCCCCATGTACTCTCACACACAGATTTCCTTAAAGATATCTTAATGGATTTCATTTCTTGTCAGACAAAAGGAGACTTCATAGTTTATCCTGAATGAAGCACGCAGCCAAACATAGCCTAAATAAGTATGAGAGAACTACTGTAGCAATCACCAAAATCATCAGCAGAAGCAGACTAATCTTACGTGATCACTTACGTGAGACCCAGAAGTGCAACTTCAATTTTTCTTTGAAAATGATTGATGCTGAGCAGGATCACACCCAGCACCTGAAAATTTTCTCAACATTCTATACCCATATGTATGTTGTCCTGCTCTATCTTCCATATCCTAATCTAGCACAGCCCCACCATTTCCCCTCCTCCTCCATAACATCACTCCACATTATACTTCCCCTCCTCTGTCGAGTAAGGCTTACTTTTTAAGCATCCCTTCATTTTCCCCCAGGCCTTCCTCTTGAGAAAACTCAGCTCAGCAGCATACAGACCTTTACAAGTAACCTCTGAAAAGCTGCTGAGCACTGTTTCTGAGTAGCAACCAATTTAGAATAAATTGATAGATAGTATCTAAAGAAGACATTATAATTTACAATTTTGTTGTTGGTATAGAGAGCCCAAAAGGTATTCCAGATGCTACTTCACTAAAACAAACCTCAGCACAGAAGTTTAACTTGTTAGCTTTTTCAAATTAGAAGAAAATAATTCACCTGTGGGAAAGAAACCAAGCTTTTCCAATTTGATTACTATATAGTACCAGCATCAACAGATCAATAGGTTCCAGCTTTGCAGTGGAGTACTTCAGAACATACATCGATCAGACTCTCAAAAATAATGTAGGATCTGTAGTAGAAAAATATTTCCTTCTATAGTGAGCAGAGAAATAATTAATACTTCTACATGCTGCTACAGCATAACAATTTAAGTACATTAATCATAACTGTCTCAGTGCTATCTTGACTTTTTTTTGTTTGTTTGTTTGTTTTTGTGTTTTTTTTGTTATTGTTCCTTGAATTTATCTTCTGATACTATCTTATGGAGAACTGTGCTAGATCTTAGAATCGCATTTTATTATATACATCAACTGTGCTCCCTCACTTGTGCAGGCTGAATGCAACTACAATGCTAAGTCATAGCCTGAACAAGTGATTGAGTACCTGGTGGGAAGGCAGGGTCAATCCAGGGGAGCTCAGATGCAAGCAATACAGCTGAGTGCCAAGGAATGGGTGGAGATAGACTTCATAATGCGTTGGCAGTGGAGGGGAAGGAATTCTGCTAGAGATCCCTGCATAACTGAGGCTTTTAAAAAGTAAACAGCATCTTCCCTTTACTTCTGTGCTTGTAGCTGTTGCTTTTGAGTAAATTTTCACTTACTATAACCTAGGATCTTGCTGCTCTGCTGTCATTACTGTGTTTTCTATTGTGTCACATACAGAGCTGGTAAACTCTATTGTCCTAATAGAAAAAGAATGCTGAAATTTGGAGACAGAACTGGGTGTAGAATAGTGAGGGTTTCTCATAAAACTAAAATTCAATTTTTCAGGCAGTTCTACAGAGGCCACAAAAACACATCTCCCTTCAGAAGTAAGATTATTCCAGATACCGTGTTAGTGGTTTTTTTTCTAGTCTGAATAGATTTTCATAACCTGTTTTTGACTGTTTCCTGATGCTGCAAATGTGATTATTTGATTTCTTTCAACTGGGATATAAAGATACATTCATGTTATATAGACCTAATAAAGGAGAAAAAACAAAAACATTAACATGAAAGATTACCTGAGAAAAGATATCTGATCTGAAGGGAAATTTCTTTATGACACAAAATGTAAGCATCTCCAAACACATCCCTCACTAAAATAGAATTTGGGTCTGGAGTACACTGAAACTGTTTTATTCCTTTTTGCCATAGCACTTAGCTCAAGAAATGCTGCATCAAACCTAACCAAAACACAAAATTACCAAGCAGTAATTATACTGAGCCACATCAGGTTTCCATCTCTCTTCCATTAAGTAGAAAACCCCAAAGTTCTGTATTTAGTTCAAATATTTACCTGAAGTTCACGTGCTCTATCTTCATCAAACGTTTATTAGTTTCTGATACACAGGTGAGAGTTCTCTGAGTGTATTTCAGAAAGAAGGTTCCTGAACCACCAGCCTGGGTAGTCCTAGCAAAGGCCTGACTAGGCTATTAGCTAAGCCGTTCTTTATGCTTCTGCTTTGTTTTTAAATATTATCTTCTATGAATATATGAATTACTAACAAGCGCTTTCCTTTAAGACTAGTGTGTGTGGCCAGGGAAAAACTCATAGTAAAACCTAGAGAAAAGCTGTTTCTGCTAACGAGGGCCCCCAGCCCCACACAGCCACCCCTTGTCTGAGCCATCAGCAGCACCTGGTGTTGGTGCAAGCTTCTGGAGGCTGTGCTGGTGGGGATGAGGCTGGGGGGAGAAGAGCACGAGGAAGGTGCATCATGGCTGCTGATCCAACAGGTAGGCCACGTTCTGCTGGTTTTAATGCCTCGTGTATGTTACGTGTTATGTGTGTGTAGGGAAGTGAGGGTTATGTGTTTTGCAGTGAGTGAGGGAAACAGTTGTGGCACGGTTACACTGTGGTTGCTGTGAGGGGTCTGTGAGAGAAACAGAGGTGTTTGTGAGGAGAAACATCTAGAAGCTTTCTGTGCATGAGGACAGGATTGCTGTTTGTCATTCCCTCAGCAGGGAGGCAGCCTCCTTTCTCCTCCGCAGTGCCATCCTGGTGGTTTGGGTGCCATGCGCGTAGGGCTAATAGGGCAGGAGGCCATTAGCTGGGTTGTCTGCACGTGGTGAGGGCTGAGCATAACTATGGCTGTCCTTTGCACTTCACCTCCTGGAGATGGGAAATACACCATATTGGGATGCGTTGTGCTTGTGAGTTGTTTCTGTAAATATCACTCAGGGATCAAAGGTGTTGCGGTATTTTTTTTAATTCTTTTTAATTTAGAGTTTGTTTGTTTGTTTCATTTACTCCCGTCATTTTTCCTTTTTGACGCTGTAATTTCTCTCCCGCCCAATCGAGGTTCCCCTTTAACGCGGAATCAATCTGCAGCGGATTGATGTCCAGCTCAGCCAATAGAATTACAAATCTCCGCCCCTGCTGGCTCGGATTGGTTCTCGTTCCGGGCGCGAGGCGGGAGCTGCGCTCAAATCCGCGGCGCCATGGAGGCTGTGCTGGGGCAGGTGGCGGAGTTGCCTGCGCTGTTTGCTGTGTCCCGTTCTGTCCAGGTGCGGGACTGGGACCCCCCGACCCTGGACAGGGCTCTGGATTGGGCACGCTACTTCCAGCACCTCCACGACCGCTTCCGTGGCCGACCCCGTCTCCGGGACGCTGTGGGGCGGCGGTTGCGGCGGGGCCAGACGGGCAGCCCGCTCTCCTTCTGCCATCTGGGCGCCTGCTCGGAGCTACTGGGCTTGGCGCTGCTAGAGAACCGCGCTCTGCCGCCCACCGCCTGCCGCCGCCTCCTGCAGCGCCTCCTGCAGGGGGAAGCTGGCCCCGAACCGGGCCGCCTGGTTCTGCTGGCCCGCAGGAAGGCCGCTTCCCGCCTTCTGGAGAGCTGCGCGCTGTCCCCGAGCGAGCTGGGCCCGCGGGTGTGCGCGGAAGCGGGACTGCTGCTGTGCCGGCTGAGGGAGGACGGGCGGGAAGCTGGGGCGGCCCTGGGCTGGCTTGGACCTGTCTTGGAGCAGCTCCCCCGGCCTCGGGCTTTCGCTGTGGTGGCGGAGGCGTTGTTGCTGCTGCAGGGGGATGGGGACAGCACGGCGAGTGGAGCAGAAGCTGGAAGCGTTGCGGATCCCCTGCTTTCCTGGCTACTGGAGGATCCGCACCGGTTTTCTGCCTGCTGTCTGCTCCTCTCGGGCGCTCTGCTCGCCTCGCTAGCCGATCGTTATGCCCGGTTAAGCAGGCGTTATTTGGATCTTTTAGCTGAGTGGGGAAGTCAGTTGCTGTATGACTCGCTGCATGGACGGTGGGTTAGAAGTGGTCCTGAGGAGGCTAAATTGTGCTGGGAGGAGCTGAGGGAGCGTTTTGTCTGCCTCTGTCAGGGATCTGTGCAACTCAGGGAGCAAACCCAAGCAGCTCTGAAGCTCCTGAAGGCCCGAGATGGAGACTTTCAAGTCTGTGGCCTAAGTGTGTGGACTGACCTGCTGCTGGAGAAAGACTTGAGGAAGAAGCAGAGCCAATGTGTGAACACCAGAGCAACGCAAAACTTTATGAAACCTAGCAAATCTGACTGATACTTATTTGAAGGGAGAGAACTATGTCCTGCTTTGAGTTGAAAACCCAAGCTCTGATAGGACTGCTGATCACACTGTTTCTGATTGCACATGAACTCTCAGGAAGGCCTGTTACTTAGCATCTGTACTGCTGATTCTCTTGGTGACAGGCAGTAAATATCTTCCTTTACAGTGCTTACTGCTCAGCTAATAAAGAACCTGGTTTTTTTTGGATGTTTTTTTTTAAAATAAGCTTTCATTTTTTATTGACTACAAATATCAGATATGTTATGATCATGGTCTGTTTTGTTTTTGGCTTTTTTTTTTTATTGTTCAAAGGGAATGATGGAGATTCAAACCTGAAAATCCCAAATGCAGGGTTGATTTAGTAGTGATTGCCTTCATTAGGCTGTCTGTTCTGTTGGCATTTTCTGATCTTCAGAAAAGATCTGTGAATTGTCTGTGAATTAGCCTCTAGATCTAAAGTGAAGGAGGGGAAAAGAAAAAACTTGAAAGCTTACTGAAAAGTTCTAAAACTTGAAGGCTTTATTAGTTACCTCGTTATATACTGGTATGTAAATATTAAATATATTAAATGTTTATTAAAACAGCAGTAAGATGTGACATATTCTGCTGTGTTTTTCTTCCCTTTCCCATGATCTGTTACATTAAATATATTCATTTTGTGAAACAAAAGTGAGTGGTATAACAAACTTTTTAAATGGAGTCCAATGGAGTTATCTTTTGTTGAATCTGTTTCTGTTGACAAAACTCAAATGGGTAAAAAAGTACTGGGCCACCATGACTTAAAACAAGTGCTGTACCTCAGAATTAATGAGATCTTGTCTACTTAGCTCTGTAAGCTAGAATTACCAGTGTAAGCAGATAAGATACAATAATCAGTGAAGGTGGGAAATGTGAATAGCATAGAAGGTTCATCTTTAACCTCATGTGTGGAGGATCTGTCGAGTGTAGTGTGTATTCAGATAGGATTGAGATAAGTTGAGAAAAGTGTTCTCCTGTTACTGAAATGGCTTTTAGGGAAGGATTAGAAGGTGATTTTATTCGGATTGTAAGGTTAACTACATGTATTTGTTAACTGATTGGCACTAATTTGAGTAACGTTCTGTGCTACAAAGTGAAAATGTACAAGGGTGGCAAAATTCAAGGAGGAGTGATCTGGTGACTTTGAAAGAGAAACAAAGAATACAAGGAGATCAACTGTTGTTGACTTGGAAGATGAAATAGTGCCTGCTCTGATTTGTATGGACATAAAGATATGGGCTATAAGTTCTTATACCTCTCTCTATGAAGCAAAATTGTTACTCAAGGGTAATGCCCTTAGTTAGAAGGATGCATTGCTCTTCTATCAAAAGTATAACTGTTTCCTTTGGATTCAGACAGCATGTCAGAGGCAATGAAGTTGTGGAGATTTGCAAGTAAACTTGTTCTAACAGTTGCAGCTGTGGCAGTCATGGTTTTGCTGTCTTAAATGGGGTTGTTTTGGCACTTGTGATTGGTGGTCAGTCTCAAAAGAGAGTACAGTGTTAGGGGACCTGAGTCAGTATTTCTGTAGTAATGAAAGGAATATGAACTACAAGCATTTAAAACTGCTCAGAGTATAAAGTATGAAGTTTGAACTTGTTGTCTAGCCATAGGTCCCTGTGTTATGCAGTTTTGGCATTTCGTATGGAAACTCTGCACTTGAGCATTACTCCTAACGCTTTTAACAGGCATAGAGCTTTCTGTCTGTTAAAATACTTCTTGCTATCAGATGTTCCTAGTGAATGATATACCCAAAGATACTAGTCAGTCATTCCCTTCTGTCCTGATATATGTCAAGTATGACAAGAAGATGTGGAAATGTTACAAGTGTTATAGTAACAAAACAAATTTTACCAGTTTTCCTTCTTCGTAGAGATTAATAGGAAAAGTTGGGTAAGGAACTTCCCTTTCTTACTGAATCACAGAATGGCCAGGGTTGGAAGGGACCTCAAGGATCATGAATCTCCAACCCCCCTGCCACATGCAGGGCCACCAACCTCCCCATTTAATACCAGCCTAGGGCCCCATCCAACCTGGCCTTGAACACCTCCAGGGATGGGGAATCCACAGCCTCTCTGGGCAGCTGTTCCAGCACCTCACCACTCTCTCTGTAAAGAATTTCTTTCAGAATTACTGCAAGAAAATTGCTCTTTAACTACTTGTTCCTGGGTACCTGGGTCTCTATGACTGAGGAGCATCTTGTTTTTGCTGGTCAAGATCTATTTCTTAGCATCCTCAAGATGTCGGCCAGAAGATGAGACTTTTAGTAACTTTTAGCTAATTCAAGGCTAATTCAATTGCTGATAGGCAGTTCTTGCTCTGTTTCAACTCTTGCTCTTTGTAAAACTTTTCTCTTATAACATGCAGTTTGTAAAGGCAGGTGTCTTCCTTCAGAATAATTTAGCATTGCAGCAGCTCTTATAGCTAAAATAGTGGTAACAGATACTTTGGTGAGAAAATCATTTACAAAATAATTCTGGAGAGGAAGGCAAGAGATTTAACTGAACAAAGGGCAGCATCACTTTGATTTGTGCCTTTATTGACTATTCTAGTCCGTAGTTGATTTTAAATTCTGTCCTTACAGGAAACTTGAATGGTAGAAGGTAGTCGACCTTCAGTGAGGCTGAAGCACCTGGATATAGCAATTTCACAGCAATGTTCCAATCTGTCCCAGATACGCTATAAAGAGGTGCCAGATCCACGATTACTGAGTTCCAAAATCCATATGGCACTTATTGAAATCAATGCATCAGTTCACATCCCCTATTATTTCAGCATGCTTGTTGAGCTAACTATGCAACAAAAGACACACAATTAAATTTCTGGGGGAGCTCCTTTTTTAATAACAGCTTAAACAGGAAAGGAGAAAGAGTGATGTTTGTGATCTCCTCCTCTGTGTTTGCATCTCATACTTGTAGGCTGAGGCTTGCAGCCAAAAATCTGCAAAATTTTGACCTAAACAATCTGAGCTGTTATGGGAAGTAAGATATTACAAATGACAGCAGTCTCTTCCTTGCCCACCTCCTTTCCTCTTTTTACTGATAAAGAGAAACACGCCTGAACTATTGTCTGTATTAAAGTGGCAGAAGAAACTTGCAATAACAAGATAAATCAAAATCAGATTGCAAACTTTTTATTTCTGTCAAATGGAAAATTTAAAGCTATACTTTATTTTTCATTAAGAGTTTGAATGACCCATCACATGGTGCAAGTGTGTATGCAGAACAGAGTGAAGAGGCACTGAGAGCATGGGAATCATGATGTTGAGGTTCTTATATATTTTAGGCAGAGCAATGGGGAAAAATGTAAAATGCAAGTGAAGATGCTGAGAGAAGAAAGAGAACTTTTCCCTTGTGAAGATCCTGGAGAAATGGTAAATTTGCCCTTCACCAAAATGAAGTGGCTTTACTGCCTCTGTGGATAGTAGTCTGTGAATATCATGATTCAAATAAAATAGAAATCACTTGATTCAGTGTTGGCTGCTCTGGTAAAGCACTCAGCTTCTGCCTTCCCTGATGACCGCTCTGGGTCAGTGGTTTAACAGGAAGGAGTATTACAGTAGTGAATGGGGGGGAGAGTATGTGCAGTCAGAAGCAGTATTTAAATGAGGTTTGCTCTCACAGAGATGAGTGCAAAAAAACAATATCCTATCTGCCTTGGGATAAAATAGACTCAAATCATCAGAGGTATGGGCAGGAATAACAGGTTTTTATCAGTTAGTTAATAAAAATGTTTGCTCTTTATATTGTATCCTTCTCAAGAGAAATTAAATGGTATTTTGACAAAATACATCATTTTCTATTAGTCTGTGCCTGTGCTGAGTTTGAAATTAAGATTTGGTTGACAACTTGAAGAAAATTACGTCTTTGTTCTCCCTTACCTATACATCTTAATACATCTTACTGAAAACCTTTCTGTAGCAACAAGCTAGAGCAGAAGTAAACATATCTGGGGTGTGTTTTCTTCTATTGCTGTTGAGTGCACCGGAAACATTTTAAGCTAGTAAATATATGTACTGTAGTACTGTTGTCATTCATGTACTTGCACAATTTCAATTCCTTGTGTGCCATTGCCTTAAGAGTTACTGAGATTATTTTCCAGGTTTGCTCATATCCCAATGGCTTTTAGTTGCCAGCTCTCTTCTTTCTCAGCTAGGCATCTTTTTCTGTGCATCCTTTGAGTGACTGGCATTTGGTGTATGGAATCCTCTCAGCTACCACAGAGGGGGGTAGCAGAGTCTCTCTGTACAGATGGGCTGGGATTCCCGATCCCAAAGGATAAGCTAAGTTTGCAGGTCACTTATAAAAGCAGCAGATAAGCAGGGAGAAAATCCCCACTCCTACAGTGCCCAGCAGGAGTTTGCAGTTGAAAAACCCTCTGCAAGTCTATTTTGTCTTTGCAATTGTTATTTTACCAGCTTTAATTTAATGTAGGATTAGGTAATAATATAAATTATATCCCACGGCTGTCTCTATTCACAGACCTGTTTTATTAATAATATTAGGTATTCAGCTCTTAAATTCCTTTACTCTTACATGATAAATTCCTTTAACATCATGTGATCAATTTACTGTAACCCTCAACTAGGATATTTTACCAGAAATGATAGGAGTGTGCGCTGAACAGAGAAGCATAGCAATCAAATTCTGAATTTAGTCTTGAATTGTACCTTCCTATTATATTTCTCTCCTGGGAAGCAAATCCAGGCTGAATACTCAGACATATGCTATACATAGTGTATGGCTTGCAAAGAGGCTAATCCCAGCATCTGATAAAGTGTTATTTCAGGTTTTTGGCAGTTGATGTGAGTCAAAGGTTCTATTTGAATGCTTTTCTAAGGCTGATTTTCCAAGAATGAGATGGTATGAACTGCTTTTACCTGCACATTTGTGTCACCGTTCTTCTGGTGTGCTGGGCTTCAATGACTGTCTGAACAGGAAGGTGTGATGATGGTCTTGAGCTCCTGTATACGGTACTTCTCTCAGCTTATAGTTAACAGTGGAAGAATATGGCTGCTTTATATTGCATATAGTCAAAATGGCATCCATGGAAATGAGTCTGTAAGCCAAGACTATTTGCTATGTGACCCCATTATCAGTAAAACACACAGGGAAATGCTTGATTTTTTTTTTTTTTAATTTATTTTTTAAATGCAGAATAATTGGGAATATTCCATGGTTTTATTCTTTTATCACAGAAGATAGTGAGTTCTTTTGAAATACTAGCACACTGGAGTGTTAATGCAACCTCTGCTTCCAATACTTAGAGGCGGTGAAGTCATTAATATTTTCTTGTGAATGCAAATTAGCTATTGATTTCTTCTAGGAATTAATTGAACATGATCAAACTCTGAAACAAGCGTGGCAGTGTGGTCATGCACCTGCTGCTTACTGTTGCAGTGTTGCCCTTTCAGCTAGGAAATGATGCAGCACCCTAGGGAAAAGGATTTTAAATCATGCTAGCGACAATAAATTCTGTACTGGTGTCTCACATGGCCTTATTGCTCTTAATGTTGAAGTGAAAGCTCCTTAGGTGGAATATTCTTTGTTTTATAATTTGCCTTGTAAATGGTATCTCTCTGCA